TATTATTAACTAGACAACAAAATAAAAAGCAGTGTCTATACCATGTTTCAATGTATTTTTGAAAGGTATATTTGAATTTTTGAAAGGTATATTTGAAATGCACCCAACCAACATCAAGCATATCTACATGGTGGATGCGGGACTTACATTTAACTCCCCTTACCCTCTGGTGTTGCGACCTCAAAGACAGATAGACATCATTCTTTCTTTTGACTTTAGCGCCCGAGCCACTGATAATACTCCTCCATTCAAGGTAAACATATCACATATTGTTTTTAGTAGAGTATTGTTAAGACTTTTACTCTGCAGACTCATCAATAGCTTTAATTCTTGAAAAAAAAGAGGCAATATTAAAATAACTTTTAAAATTTCATACTTTGAGACTCAATATTGCAGACTCCCAGGATTATAGTGCATGCCTTCTCACTTTGCTGCAATCATCATAAACATATGGGACCCGAAAATAATCTTTTTAAACAATATTTGTAAATTAAAAGATGATACTAAAGATATATTTGAAACCGACTTCATTATCTCGATTTAACTTCATTGGTGTCATTATATTAAAAAGAAACTAGTATTCACTATTGACAGAATTGAAAGCTTTGTATTTCCTTTTCATCATTTGTAATATCGATTTTTTAAATTTTCTTCAGGAACTGAAACTTGCTGAGCAGTGGGCCAAGTTGAATCGTCTGCCCTTTCCTCCTATAGACACCAGTGTGTTTAATAGAGAAGGCATGAAGGAGCTGTACATATTCCGTCATCCCAACGACCCGCACTGCCCAATTGTGTTTCATTTTGTTCTCATCAACAAGACTTTTAAAAACTACAAAGCACCAGGTTAGCTATCTCATACTTTACTAAGCCTTTTGTTTTTCTAATGTTTACATTGATTAGTAGTTCTTGCTTTAAAAAAACAAATTTTAAAAAATACCTTGAAAACATATTTAAAATATCTAAAACAGTGTTTCCCAAGCTTTTTCCTTAGTAGAACATTCTGAGTATTTAGCAGAACACTTTGCTTATCTTTTAGAGAGATTAATTCATGTAGTGGCCTACTAGTTAATTATTCCAGTAGTTTAAAGAACACCTATGGCTTGTGGAACAGTAGGAATACAGTTTGGGAAACAGTGATCTCAAAAACACGTTGGTACTTCTACATATGCTACATAATGTTGTCAGATTATACTCTAGTAACTTGCACACTTTCTAGTCATTCTTGCCTGTTATGAAATTTGGTGAGGTAACAACTAAAAAAAACAACAACACACTTCTGTTTAGGTTTTTAACTAGGTTATTATATTTAGTACTCAGAATGGCTTAGGTATTGAAACAGGCATCTTCACTCAACTACCGGAACATGATTTTAAAAAGTGGCTTTTTTGTGTTTGCCCCTGAATTTCTTAATAACTGTTAACTTTGAGTTAACACAATTTGCAAACTGTCAGCTTCTTTAGTAAAATTGTGTTTTTCCAAACATACTTCATTTAGTTTTAAAAGAATATAAGTGAAAGTGAATTGGTGCAGTATAATGATTACAATTAACTTGTCATTCTAGGCATTCCAAGAAAAACAAAAGAGGAATTTGACTTTGCTAACTTTGATGTTTTTGATGACCCTAAAGCTCCGTTTTCAACATTTAACTTTACATACACTCATGAGAACTTTGAGAGAATGAGTCAGCTGATGGAGTTCAACACACTATTACACATAGAGGAGATCAAGCAGGTGAGTTGTTGACTTGATTCACTCTGATCTAGACTGTCTCAGCTGTAGCAATGATCACTATGAGAATTGGAGTGTTAGTATTAATGTCCTCCTGACCTAGATATAAAATGAATTCAATATTTTTCAGAAAAAAAAAAATTTTTTGTTGTTGTTGTAGCTGCTAAGATTGGTTGGTAAAGTTACCCAGAACTGAACAAATGTGGCACAAAGGCACCATGAACCTTTTGGGCTGCTTATGTTGTTCAGTCCCTTCTCAGAGTCAGTCTCCCTTGATCAAGTAAATGCAGATCCTGAAGCACACAAAATGGGCAAAAATACTCCTCCATCCATCCCAGTGGCGCTACAGCCCATGGAGGGCTTAGCCTGCTTCAGCACATCCTTCCATTCATATCTCTCCTGGGCCTTTCGTCTCCACACCCTAAGATCTGCTTCCACATCATTAATCCATCGCTTTCGGGATCTGCCTTTGGGTCGCATGCCTTTTGGTTTTTGCCTGTATACGATTTTCGCTCCTCTGTTGTTTGACATTCTTTCAAGGTGACCTGCCCAACGTAGTCTGTTCTTTTTATTTCCGTCACTAATGGTGGGTATTCATACAATGAATATATCTCATGGTTAGTGCGTGTCCTCCACCCTGTTTCATCCTGTATGGCACCATAGATTTTCCTAAGAATTTTTTTTCCCCAAGTATTAAGTAAATTTTCAGATGTCTTAGTCAGTGTCCAGGTCTCACTTAAATACATTGCTGCTGGTCTTATTATGGTGAAAACTACTCCTCATATTATAGTTTTCCTATCATTTCCACACTACTGGCTGGCCTCTATTTATGAGCCCTGCTTCATTTTCTTTTACAGTTCAGTTCAAATATAGATTTCTAACTGTAAACAACATCATTAGTTTGTTTTCACTTTGTTTTCACATCTGTAATAACCATTATGATCCATTTCTCATTTTAATTTTTTAAATCATAGGCTATGAGAGATGTAATCAAAATAAAGCGTGAAGGTCCTTCAAGGAGGGTAATCAATTCTGAGGATATCAAATTTCTGCGTCTTAAAAGTGTACAAGAAATGCGCAAGTTGAAAAAATTTATCAGCAGAATGGAAGGATCCTCCAAGAACTCCAACAGCACCCCATCTCCCCAGTTCTACACGCCACAGCCTCACTTGAACTCTAGCAATCCATTTTTTGGCGTAGCCAAAGCTTCAGGGTCACAGAACATGTTAGAGTCTACATTATCAACTGACTATTCCGGGCATAAGCATCAAAGTATAAGCCCAAGAAACAGCTATCATACAGTTAACTTTGATGAGACAGATAGTTGTCCTGAAGAACTATCTCACAGGCGGAACTATTTGCTGTCATCTTCATCTTGTGAAAGTGAAAGCATCTTTGGGACCCCACCTCAGAATTGTGACCATCTTCAGAAATTCATTCCTGGGTCTGCATTCCACAAGGATGTAAATAATGACTCAGGCATGTCCTCCCCTCCTCATCATGAGGTATTCGCAGCTACTGAAATTCCATTAATGAGCAACAGTCCCAAATTGCCATCTCCAGAACTGACAGCTAGCCAGGTAATGGGCCCAAAAAATACACATTTGAATCGATTGAATTTCATAGCAGAAGACTCTGGGGTGAGTTCATCCTCTATACATACTTCACCTATAGACTTCCCATTGCAAACTAAAGCTAGCAAAGATAGCCCTCCTAATCCATTCTTTGCTCATATGAGATCTTGTACTAGCCTCTTATCTTCATCATCATCTAGCTGTGATACTTTGAAAAGAACAAAAGGAAAGTCAAGATCTCATTGTTCAAGTGACTCCTTGTCAAGACCAGTGGCTGTTAAAAATAGCACTAGTCCACTAGTGCAACCGCCAGTGGGCTTCTCACCACAGGTCTCTGTTGATGTCTTCACTATTGCGCCAGAAGCTTTCAAAGCTGACGGCACACCAGTTACAGACACCATAGAGGCAAAGATGTACTATGAGAGTGCCAAAGCCAGAAGAAAGCTCCTTCGACGTCAGAGCACCATCTCATCTCTTAACAGCATTTCACTGGATGAGATCTGCCATCTTGACAAAGGTCATGGGGATGAGATGGAAGAAAGTGCCCTACCAGATCAAAGCAAAGGAAATAAAATGACAGATGATTTTGTAGAAATGTCTGCAGTACACATGCCCCAAGATCTGCAGAATTTCGATGACATAAAAGATCTCTCTGTGTTTAGTGGAACTATTTAATGAAAAGAGTTTTTACTTCTATCGAGCTGTTCCAAAAGTTTTTGATTGCACTTTTACTTGTGCATAAAACATAAATACCATGCTATAAATTATTTCATGCAATATATTTTCCATGAAGGCCTTCCATTACACATTTATTTATAATGATTTTTTTAAGGTAAAACTTGATGTACAAACATGTTAAAAGTAGTCTATGCATAAACATAGTATGTGCCTTAAGGGAAACTTTCCAGTTGTGTTCCCTCAAGCACAATTTAATTATGCTCTGGCCAGAACAGTGGCCATATATTTGTGATATTCCCTGTTAATACTCTTGTGTTATCAGCTATTTGTATATTTATTGATATTATTTCTATATATCTACATGACAATGAATTTGTTGTACCTTTTTTTTTTTTTTTTTTTTTTTTTTGTAACAAAAATCCAACACTATATCAGCTTACAGCTATTATACCTTTTTTGTTCAGTAAAATAGTGCAATCAGGAGGTAGACTTTTTTGAAAATAATCTGACTCTAAAGGAGATACTCAAGTAGAGAACATAAGAGACTACCACAATAAATTTTATTAGTGAAGGTATCTACTAAAATATAAATAATATTAACTTTGCTGAAATATTTTATTAATACTCTAAAAGTGAAAGATGGCAAGCATTATCATTGAATCAATTCTTAATGGCTTTAGAGATTCTCATTACCTTTCAGAAAAGGGAAAACACTGAAGAGAGACTTTGCTACCCAATATAAACACTCTATGCACTAAAATGGTACCTAGTTGTTTTTTTTATTTTCCATTTGTTGTTCATTTAGTCAACTTGAGTGGGTTGATGTGGCATTACTGCTGAGTGTTTCATGGATACCTTCCTACTGTTGTCATGGAGCAAGTCAATTGACAGGTTGATGTGGCATTACTGCTGAGTGTTTCATGGATACCTTCCTACTGTTGTCATGGAGCAAGTCAACTGACAGGTTGATGTGGCATTACTGCTGAGTGTTTCATGGATACCTTCCTACTGTTGTCATGGAGCAAGTCAACTGACAGGTTGATGCAACCAAAAAATATTCTCATTTTCTTTTTGTTGACTGCCTTCATTTTATTTTTAGCTCCAGGGATGCCCCCACCACATACACACTGTATATTTTTTTTAAAAATTATATATTAAATTATGTCTCCTTCTGTCTCGAAAGACAGATTAATTGCTGACTTTGGTATGGTCTTAAGACAGGGCAGAATCTGGACTGATCAAGCCAATTCTGGAGTGGCAGAGTTTGCCACAGTTCATGTATATTTATTCATCTGTCTTAGGGCTGGCAGACCAGGCTGCTTTCTTTTTCTTTATCTTGACTTATGCAGCTTCAGTTCTTTTGCTAAAAACTTAGCATGCCCATAACATTTGATGTTTTCTTTTTACCCTAGAGACAAAGGCTGCTATTGCATAATTTGTAGATAAGGATATCCAAAAAAAAAATATTTTGTTTAAATTGATCTCCAGCTGGATCAATAATTGTCAACTATGTCTCAGTGAAAAGTTGTTGGAAAAAAAAACCTGAAATAAAATGTTACACACACTTGACACATAATTGTGTTTATTTTCTTTGTTCAAGAGTGTTTGGGTCAGTGTTTAGAGATATGTGATACTTGAACTGTTCAAGAGTGTTTGGGTCAGTGTTTAGAGATATGTGATACTTCAACTATCCAAGTTTTTGGGTCAGTGTTTAGAGATATGTGATACTTGAACTGTTCAAGAGTGTTTGGGTCAGTGTTCAGAGATATGTGATACTTCAACTATTCAAGTGTTTGGGTCAGTGTTTAGAGATAATATGTGATACGTCAACTGTTCAAGAGTGTTTGGGTCAGTGTTTAGAGATATGTGATACGTCAACTGTTCAAGAGTGTTTGGGTCAGTGTTTAGAGATAATATGTGATACGTCAACTGTTCAAGAGTGTTTGGGTCAGTGTTTAGAGATATGTGATACGTCAACTGTTCAAGAGTGTTTGGGTCAGTGTTTAGAGATAATATGTGATACGTCAACTGTTCAAGAGTGTTTGGGTCAGTGTTTAGAGATATGTGATACGTCAACTGTTCAAGAGTGTTTGGGTCAGTGTTTAGAGATAATATGTGATACTTGAACTGTTCAAGAGTGTTTGGGTCAGTGTTTAGAGATAATGTGATACTTGAACTGTCAGCAGTTAGAACCTAATGCCCAGTCATGTACACAATCTGGGAGCAAGATAACATGGTGAGGCTTTTTTTTTTTCCCTGGTAGCTCATCATTGAAGGTGCCATTCCATAAGATTGGGCTGATTGGTGTTCCATAGATATCAATAGGGAAACTTCAATGCTTTTCTTCATTGTGATGTGGTTAGATAATGAACTGTTTGACCTAAGTCGATATTCTACAAGATTTAATTAAATACACCGGCACCAAATTGTATAGAAATATACTAAGGAATGCATTCGTTTTTGTCTCTGATAAATTGCTATGATATTTGGCATTGTCATAAAAGTGCCTGGCAGATACAAATGCTACTAGAACCTTCTATTTTGTCCCCCAAAGGAAAGAATTGGCCTAGAGAAATAACTGAATCAGTTCAATGATATGTACAATATCAACTCAATTGTGTCTCTTCTGTCATCCAATAATTCTTCCCTACTTGGTCCACATATGCACTTGAATGTTTTGAAGGTAACAGTAAAATGTAAAAAAGTATTAGTTGCGATGACCTGTGCCACTCGGCTCAACTACATGAAAGAACAACTACTCTATTACCCAGCTTATATCAAGTTACTGGGTCTGTCTAGTACAAACCTTGGACAGTTTTTTTCCCACACTTCTCAACTTTGCAAATATTCATTGTTGATGACTTAAACCAATTAGTTAATCAATTAGTTGTAATTACTTAAGTTTGTTTCTTTATGGAAAATTTACAAATATTGCAATGGGGCAACCTGTGACAATAATCACAATAACATAGAGAATTAGGTTGATCATACAAATTTTAAACAAACAATATATGTTTGAATAGATATAGTGATAGAATAGCTCAGTGGCAAAACACATCAGTCTTCCATCCATGATGGAGACAAATTCAAATACAGACTAAAGCTTTTGTTTTTAAGTAATTGATGCCATTTTGTTCAATAGAGGGGAAATTTTTTTTAAAGTATTTTTTTTTTCAATTTCTGTAAAATTCAGTACCCACATCTGAATAATAACACATAATCGTGACAACTATTAAAGCATTGTAAGTACATCTCTATCACTCAACACAAATGTTTTAGTTCCAGGCAATGCATCCTAATGGCTAGATGTGTGAAGTGGCATAAGCTAGGCTTCGACGATGGGCTGGATTTGAATTTCAATGTAGACTTCAAATTTGATATTTGACTCAAACTGATTTGTCTTTGCTGTGGGAATGAAAACAGCTCAGAAATCTTTTCTCACCAAAAAGAAATTGACCATAGAACAAACTGCTATATGAACATGACAGAAATGCTATTTAAAAGCAATAATAATCAATCATCATCATCAACCCATAACAAGCGCAAAATCTGCTTTAAAGTTTTAATATTGGAAAATTTCTGATATTTTTGGTTCTTACTTCATTCAGTGGAAGCGCAGTGGCTGAGCGGTAAAGTGCTTGGCTTTTGAACTGGGGCTCCTGGGTTCGAATCCTGGGATTTTTTATATTTCCGGATCTTTGGGCGCCTCTGAGTTCCACCCAACTATATGGGTACCTGACATTAGTTGGGGAAAAGTAAAGGTGATTGGTTGTTGTGCTAGCCAAATGACACCCTTGTTAACTGTGGGCCACAGAAACAGATGACCTTTACTTCATCTGCCCTATACACCACAAGGTCTGAAAGGGGAAAGTTCATCATACATTCATGCCTTACAGGCAATCCAACAACAAAAATATAAATTGCTTGAAACAGAACACAAATATCCAAAACTGAAACTGAATTAATGTCAGGTATTTTATTTCAGAGATAGTGAAATGTCATTGAGTGAAAGTTTCCAAGATTTAAACTAAATCTCACACAAAAAAAAGCAATCATTAAAAGCCTAATTTTATCAATTGAGCCATTCACTCATTACCCCTGGATGACTAATGTGGTCATCCTCGAACCACGATGGACAAACTATTGATCTGGTCTATCCACTTGTTTTATTAAGGGTTCAACTACATTATAATAATCACTTCTCCAACGTTTGCTCCAATGACACTTTTAGACACTCCCCATTATTAATTTCAGACATAACTCTAAATCAATAATTACTTTCAAACAAAACTACTATAAAATCACAAAAATATTTATTTAAAAAAAAGAAATCATAATTGCATTCACATATTCATACCAATATTAAGAGTTCATTTGCAATTTTTTTTTTAAACAATGAAAATGACTTAGCTGTATCCTAAAAAAATGCAGAAACTAATTAGTTGTTTTTCTAAACAAACAGTTTAGTGAATACATATTGTAAAGCAACTACTTATATTAGTACTTCTGTAATGAATGAAACTCACTAATTGAAAATTCAGAAGAAAGACATCAATTTACTTTATAAAGAATATAACACACAAGGTTAACAATATACAAACTTATCTGCCCTTAAATTTTTGTTAGTGTGTAAGCTATTACAGGGGGTCCTAAGGTTACATTAATCCAATGCTACATCGCATATTAAACAGATTATTAGTGTAAGAACATATGTTGATATAGTATGTAAATACTGTAAGCACTTATCCTATCCTTACACAGTACCCTGCATAATTATCAAAAAAAAAAAAAAGACATACAGGAATTTAAAATATGTTTAGCGATGAAATGACAGTCATGAAAAAAAAGAACAGGCTGATTGGGAGGAAGAAGCTACAGAGGGTGCTGGAGATACTGTGCAGGTGAATCTGGAGGCAGAAGATATAGATATTGGGGCAGGCATGTCTGAAGAGGAACAGGAAGATTGCATTTCTGACACAAAACCACTAAGTGGAAACAGCAACTCTGGACTGTTGTAACCCAAGGACCTCATGTAGTTTCTTGTACTTTTCACTGGTTGTTTGTCATTTAAAAAAAAACTATATTTAAATCTTTCTTCACATCAGCAGTTTAAAAAAAAGGGGGTTGCCCAATGTGTTCACATATTCATTTAGCTTTCAGGTGAAAACAAAAGAAGAGGAAACCATTTCTCACCCAACTCACCAAGTCTAAATAATGGGTGTGGCAGCTAAAGAGCAGAGAATAACCTACTGGCTTTCATCAGACTAAATGTGCATGAATTACAACCAGGGAAAGCAATGAATGTTTAGGTCAGACATTCAGAGACAAGAACCAAAAAAAAAAAAAACAAACAACAAAACTAAAAATGAAATGAAGTCCAACAAGTAATCAATGTATGCAACAGTTTGCGCAAAAATTTATTTAGTCTAATAGTTCTCACATCAGGCTATCAAAAAAATGTATTTTTAGACAAAGAGAAAACAAATGTCAGAAAAAAAGTTCTTTAAGGACAGCAAAAAATCATAGGAAAACAAGGTCATCCAATTGCTTATAATGTATAGTAGAACAATTTTGTACTCTTAAAGAATGTACAGGAAAATGATTGCTGTGATGGAACTCAGAAGGCTAATCCCCTGCAATAAAGAGGCTTACAAAGTCACCAAGCTAAACTATTGGTTGTATTCACTTTCCATTCACCAGACACTCTTCTTTCAATTCAAACAGAACAATCAAATAAAAACATGATAACACATTATGTCTTTTATCATTGGCAAAAAAAAAAGAAAAAAAAGTCTTTAAAATTGAATTTGAAACAAAAAAAACTCAAGGGGCAGTAATGTGGTATTGTTGACTGGAGGAGGAAATTGCTGGTTCAAGTCTCACCAGACATTTCAGTAACCATCCTCACCATAGAAGAAAAAAGATATCAAATATGTTCTCTTTCTCCTAGTCAAATATACAAGCTCTACAGCAGCTTTAATAATGAATTGAAATAAATTAATCTCTCTTGAAGGGCTTAACCATTGCTGGCCTAGTGAACTCAGAGCATTCAATCCTATTTGTGAAGTCATTCTATTCCTAGAGGCCATTACTAAGCATCACCTGAAAATGTCCCCCCCCCCCCCCCTTTTTGTTTTATCCTTCTGCTTAGCTTCACATGAAGGGTTGATGATTTTCAGCAAAGTAAAAATAAAATTAGAGCTTCATTTAATACATTTGAAATGAATATTAAAAAAAAATGAAACATTCATCTAGAACGGTCAATATGAGACTTGCTAAAAAAAAAAAAAGATGTCAAGGTATAATGTAACAAAAGAAAACATGACCGCTTCTACGTGGGGTAAACAAAAAATGTGAACAATTATGTATACATGTCACGAGTACTATGGCATTTCAAGATAAAAGCACTGGTTGGTGCCAAGATTGTATGGTCCAGAAAAAAGGTCCACTACTTGTAAGGCAGGCAGGAGAGAGGGGAAAGCACTCCTCTCATTCATTGCCCCAACTGGTAGCAGTGGTAATCATTTCTTGAGACAAGAATCAACTCAATAGCAGGGGTCATTCTTTCTCAGGGTTAGCACTACCACAAGAACAGGAACAGAGGTAATCAAAGCTCAAATTAAGCACTACCTCAAGTGCTAACTAAGGTAATCATAATAATTAAACACTGTCTCAATTGGTCATCAAGGTAATCACATCTCAAAGTAAAACAAAACTCAACTGGTAATCAGAGGCAATCTTAAAACATGTTTCCTTATTATTTTGCTTTGTTCTTGGTTGTAATTTTAGGACCAGTTAGCACATGGGCAGGATAAAGCCATGAATGAATTGAAAAAAAAAATGGATAAAAGAAACCCTCAAATGACCATTTACATCGGAGGTGAGAGTAAAGCATAGAAGGAATAGAGAAGATGGTGGAGAGAAGAGTGGACCGGCTGATAGGAAACTTGACCACTGTGCTACTCCCTAAGACAGTTACAACTTTCCTCAGCTACAGCACTTAGACATACACTTTCATCCAGTCAGAAATTCTCCAGTTTGACCAAAATCTTGAGATTTGAGCAGAGTAGAGGAAAAAGGTTTTAGGCAACATACGTGTAGATTTTTCTGGAAAGAAACAGACATAATAATAAAATGTACATTATTTATTAACTTGTACTATTTCAATATTTAAATAAATTATTGCTTTACTCTCGCATTAGATATTTTAAATTCTAGACCACCAAGATTATTTCTTTCAGCATGGACATTCATTTTTAAATATATGTAGATATTGATTTAATTAGAAAAAAACATTCTTTGGGACATTTATCATAACATTTGTTTTATAACATGAGAAAGGAGCTTACTTTTTATAATTACTATATATTTAAAGGGATTTGAAAAATTCTAGCTTTTGAATACTAATTATGCTTTTTTTTTTATTTTGAAAGGGATTTTTCGCTGCTACACACAAAAACAAAAATAACTGAGATTCAGGAAAAAGATTTGAATCATAACAGTACACAAATGTTTTAATGAGAATTTTAAGAAGAAAACCTGAATTTCAATAATGCATAAATTATCAAACTTACTATTAAAGGAATCAGAGCACAAGGCTCTGTCAAATATTTATAGTGTTCATTCAAATGTATCTCTATATCTATAATATAAAGTACAAGAAGAAAAAAGTCACCTGTCTTCTGGCGCTCGAGCTAGATATTCTCTTTCTATTAAGCCTTCTATTCTTTTCTTGATAACTACTGGACTGGGCAAAAAGCGTGGTTTTAACATTTCTGTACACTGTGGACAATAAAATAAAACATTAAGGTTAATCAAGGCCATAAAGACACAGCTCATCTACTTAATGTACTGAGCTGGAACCAAATGTACAATAACAATCAAGAAAAACATTCAAGAAAAATGTAGCCTAAACATTTCTGTGAATACACAAACAACTTTCCAAAAATCTATGTCGATTAATATTTAACCTATTCAAGCAAAAAAAAAAAAAAAACCTCTGGAATAAGTGAAAATAAGTTAGTCTGAAAACTAAGTACTGAATTTGAATTTTTATTTCAACCTTTTCATGCAATTCATATTCTTTGACTATTAATCTCTAATAAAGAAACAATCAAAACTACTATCACTCAAGAAACAATCAAAACTACTATCACTCAAGAAATAATCAAAACTACTATCATTCAAGAAACAATCAAAACTACTATCACTCAAGAAATAATCAAAACCACTATCATTCAAGAAACAATCAAAACTACTATCACTCAAGAAACAATCAAAACTACTATAGCTATCAATCAAGAAATAATCAAAACTACTATCATTCAAGAAACAATCAAAACTACTATCACTCAAGAAACAATCAAAACTACTATCACTCAAGAAATAATCAAAACTACTATCATTCAAGAAACAATCAAAACTACTATCACTCAAGAAATAATCAAAACTACTATCATTCAAGAAACAATCAAAACTACTATCACTCAAGAAACAATCAAAACTACTATAGCTATCAATCAAGAAATAATCAAAACTACTAGCACTCAAGAAACAATCAAACATTTATATGAAAGGAGAATTCCACCCAGAAAATTTATAGTTTCACTAAAAGCAGAAACAAAGGACTAAAGGTAATTGTGAGGCAGCTAGCTTACACCTCAAGTGTCTGGTGGTGGAATGATAGGCTTTCAAAAAGAGATTCTGACCTGGGGATGGATACATGAATTTGTCTTTTCCTTTATTAAGGATTCAATAATGCACACCAATAACACCCAATTCTGCTGGGTACACTTCCCTGGTCTATGCTACTCAGCAGGGTTAGTAGCACTTTTCCAAGACAAAATTTTAGGAGGTTTTTAAAGGATGAAATGTATGATGTGTGTGTGTGTATATATATTATGTGGTGTGTGTGAGTGTGTGTGTCCGGCCCATTTGTGTGATACATTGTAAAACATACACAAAACTATGCATTTATCAAATCAATTATTGCTACTTGATTTTGGAAAAAATAAATAAATTACCAACATCCCACCCAGCACAGAAACAATGTCATCAGCTGTGGTATGTCCACAGAAAATGTAATGAAAGTTATATTTTAATCAAGTGGCAACTTGACTGTAATCCCAAAACCTCAAACAACCATTTTTTTTCAAAGATTTATTAAAGAACATTACAAATGGTTACTAGATCTATTCCATTTTTTTAAAATAAGAAACATTCTTTGAGATGCCTTCATAATGTGTATTCTCTGTCATGGAAATGTACATATTTAGTTCCTATGTGTATCTTATAAATAAACAGAGCGTGTAATATATACGCCTATTTGTATCTTTAGTTGACATTTGCTTACTTAATGATGGTTTTTGGAGGGGGGGGGGGGGGGTATTAGATCTATTAGGGCTGTTTTTTTTTCAAACAAAATTTATATTTTTTCAACTAGATCAATGTAGTTTCCCTGGCTTTTACAACCGAAATAACTTTTACTGACTTTTCACGGCCAATTATCTTCACTGAATCTACCCTAAATCTAGACTCTAGATCTATAGCACTAAAATTCGTGGACTTTTCACGGCTGTGAGCGAATTATATTCACTGATTTACAGTAGATCTAGACTTTAACGCAGTCGCTAAAATTCTCGGACTTTTCAGGGCTGTGCAAGAATCTTCACTGAATCTATCGCAGATCTAGAATCTATATAGGCCTAAAAGACTATAGATTTCTAACTCTAGGTCACTAAAATTCGCTGACCTTTCACAGCTTCACTGGGTTAGTAAATATCTTCTTTAGATTCTAGCTAAGTCACTAAATTCGCGTACTTTTCACGGCTGTGTGCGATTTATCCTCCCTAGATTCTAGTGATTTATAGTAAATTAAGAAACTAGACTTTCTAGAGTAATCTAGACATTAGATGTATCGAGATCATTACTAGGTGTGAATTATCTTCACTAGATCTAACTTAGATCAAACTCTAGATATATTTTACTAGCTAGATGATTTACGGACTTTCCATGGGAAGTCCCTCTTACTGTTACAAGAAGATTTTAGCTGAGGGAGGGCCGCAAGGGGTGTAGCCTACACATTAGGCTGGTAACTGCTCTAATTATAGACAATAGTCACTACACACTAGATCTAGCATGTCTTCAGCCATAACAATGAAAAGAAACAACCATTTCTACGCTGCCTCCAGAAAAAAATACTTCCAGGTGAAATGCTTGCTAGAGCCAAAGCCATCTTCAATCACGAGGTCGCGCTTCACAAGTGGGTGAAAGGCGGCGTAGACATGTCACTTGTTAGTTAACACAGCCAGCCCATAACGTCATGCGATCATAATGCATAGTAACGCTGTTGTTTTTTCCCCCCACATTTTTAACAAGAAATAAGCAAATTTAATTTTTTTCAAATATTGGGTAAAAATTTAAGGAGAGTGGACAAAGTATTAGGAGAATTCTGGCAATTTTTAGGAGAATTTTAGGATTTTAGGAGACTTTACATTTTTTAGGAGATTTTAGGAGCGCTACGAACCCTGTCAGACGCAGTGTCGCACTGAGTGGAAGTGGCAGAGGAGGCTAATAGGCCAACAGAGTAGTAATCCAAGACACTAGTTGGGGTGTCAACAACCCTGGCACAATCTATACACTCTTCCTCAACAAGCTGTTTTATGGCGAAAGCCTAACTAGAAAACAGAGTGGAGATACTAAAGAAGATCTTACCTCAGCAACTAAAGAATTGTGCTGCAACTTCTTTCTTGCTTTCATTATCCTGACAAGAGCTGCTTCAATCGTAACACAGGGTTAAGGAACAAACCTTTGTAATTGTACAAACAAATTCATCGGTGTACATGGAGAGCAGAGTAATGAGAACACATTCAACTACAAGTACTTGTACAACATACAGCTCATAGGTTTGACACAACGATTCATCTTGGAATGACATTCAACTAATCTAGTAATCTCATGTAACTATCTATGACTAGCCTATAATGTATAATGCCTAAGTGTCCTAATGAAAGGATATTCATGTTTCCTGTCTTCATCTACTTTATTCCTTGTTTCTCTCCTCTCAGGTTCAGCCTCACCTTTGTTGGAAGCAACTGCAGATAAAACAAAGCAACTGCAGATAAAAC